TGAGAGCCCGGGCGCAGCGGGCCCAGCCCCAGGCTCGCTCTCCTCGCCGAGGTCCGCGTCTACCCCTTCTTTCCAAACCAGTGACCCGCTCCCCCCGCTGGGACTTCTCCCCCTGCCCTGGGGCCCTCTGCACGCCTCCTCCCCTGGCCTCACGCCATCTGTCCTGTCCGCTCCTGTCATGGCTCTCGCGGGACCTTCCAGATGTTGGCAGTGGCCTCCCCGCTGCCGCCTCACACCATTCTGCTAAGGAGGCCCCTCCACAGCCCCCGTTCTTAAAGGCTCATGCTGCTCACGGGGAGAAGACTCCAGCCCTCTCCTCTGCACACACCTGCCCCCAGCGTTGCCCCGCCAGGCCCCACATGTGCTCTACGGAGCTACATGCTCCCAGACAACACACGCAGATGATGACCGGCCCATCGCTGGCCTGGCTCACGCCGGCCCTCCGTCACCGGGGCCCGGACCCATTCAGCTCCCACGTGGCCTCCTTCCGACCGCTCACCGTCCGCCCTGGAGGCTGAGCCCGTGTCAGAGCCAGTGACAGGCCTGCAGCCCGCCGTCTCCTCTGATGCAGCCGCACGGAGCGTCCCCACCCGCTGCGGCGCCAGAGGGCCCGCACAGTCCTTTCTACGCGGAGGTGGGGCTGTGGCAACAACCGGGCGCGGCCAGGTCCGAGTTGCGAGTCGAGCTCATGGGCAACAGGCCCGCACTTGGGCCAGGTGCCCGCCCTCCCGGTGGCAGCGGGCGCAGCGCTGCACAGCCTGGCTTGTGGTTTCTGGTGCAGCTCTGGGGACGAGCACCGTGGACACCACGGCTCCCTCCACCCCCAGGAGGACATCACAGGGTCACCCCCTGGGGTCACACTGCAGTTTCGGAACCACGGCCCAACGGTAAGCGGCGCCGCACACGATTCCACCTCACCGGGTGGTACAAGGATCCGGTCACTCTCAGCTGTTCCCACGCTCAGAATCTGTGAGTTATGTCACACAGCTCAGTGCTGGACTGTGCTGTCAGATATCCTTCTCAAATGTCTGACATAATCTTCATTCCTGACGGTCCCCAAGTTCTTTCTGGTCGGAAGCGGAGTTCAGACCCCACACCCGGCATCGCGGTGCGAGGCGGAGAGCAGGACTCCGCCTGTGTGACGACCCCCCGCCACCGGTCAGCTCCCCGAGGACGCAGCGCGCTGCCAGCACCTCAGACAAAAGGCCCAGAACACGAACAGAAGAGGGACGTTCTGTGGGGAGGACGTGCCAGGAGCAGCACATTTTCAAAGCACAAAGCACGTGGCATGTGGCCAGGCGCACCGGCGGCAAAACCCGTCTTTCCAGCTGGAAGGAGCGAAAGGCCGAATCTGAGAAAAACTGCCCCCGAGAAGCGCCAGGGGCGTCTCAGAGGGACAGGACTCAGAGAGGGAATGTCACCCTCTGTCGACCGTATCTGGCTGGCGGCGGAACCACGGGGTGCAGAACACACGCCGCTTCTCCTGGCAGAAGACAAGGTCTGCTGGAGGATGGGGGGTGACCCCACCGCGCAAGGGGGTGGCACAGAGGCTCCCTCCCCAAGGGCGCCGTGTGGGCAGATGAGCGAGGAGAACAGCACAGAGGGAAAGGACTTCAGGGCGGAGATCGAGGTCAGAGTCCACAGTGACGCCTCGATCTGACGGTGTGCGCCCTGGAGACGCTGCTGTGGGAAGAGCATTTCATCTCCGCGCCTTCCTCTCAGAGACACACCCCCGTCTGATCCTGAGAAAAGCATGAAGCGAAGCCCACATGAGGGGCAGGCTGAGAACTCCTGACCAGCCCCTCCAGCGCACAAGGTGAGTCTGAAACGCCGCGCCACCCAGGGTGGCCGGAGGAGACCTAAGGTCGTGACCAAACGCAACGTGCTCTTCCGGATGGGATCCCAGAAGCAAAAGAGGACATTTTGCACAAACAAAGGAAATCTGAGAAAAGTTTGGATTTTAGTAATAAAAATTGTCAACACTGGTATTAATTATAAAAATCTAGTATAATAATATGTCAAAATAAGGAACCTGGGTATGGAGTATAGTGAGAACTCCCTGTACTATCTTTGCAATTTTTCTCTAAAGCTAATACTACTCTAAATAGAAGTTTATTTTTAAAAAGTCTGGACTGATTCAGATCTGCTGTCCAAAGAACAGATTTTTCAGTTCAAATCCAACTAAAATAATTGTCTCATAAAACAAAAGAAACAGCTGTCATCAGAAAAAAAAAGAGACAGTATCCAGACTTTCCAAAAATTACATTCATAATGCTCAGGATACAATCACAAAATCACCCAATATTTGAAAGAGCCACAAAAACAAAGCATATTTTCAGGAGAAAAGAAAATCAACTGAGACAAACCCTGAGGTACCTATGAGTCTGGAAGTAGTGGCCAGTATTACTATCTTCAGTGAAGTAAAACAACGTATTCATGTGACGAATGGAAGGACAGGACAGACAAGCAGAACAATGGAAATCACAGAGAAGAACCAAATGGAATCTGCAGAAACAGAACCTGGAATGAAAATTTATTGGGTAATAACAAAATGGAGATAAGAGAGAAAATATTAATGAAGAGTAGAAAGGAAGAAGATGAAAAATGTGAACAGACCTCAGGGACCTAGTAGGTGATATCAAATTGTCTAACATACATGTAATTTTAGTAAGAAAAAAAGAAGAGAAAATGAGGCAGAAAAATTATTTGAAGAAATAATGCCTAGAATTTATAAATGTCTAATGAAATAAATTTGCATATTCAAGACTCAACAAACACCAAGCAAGATAAACATGAATAAGACCATGTCAAGGCACATCATAGTCAAATTAAGCCAAAGATAGGAGCAAGTTGTAAAAGCAACAGAAAAAGGACCCCCTACATACAGGCTTAAAATAATGTGACTGATGGTTAATGTCTCATCAGAAACAAAGGAACAAAAGTAGAAGTACAAAACCTTTAAATTCCTCAAATTAAAAACAAAAAACAAAAACACTGCCAACACAGAATTCTATATCCAGCAAAAACATCTTTCAGGAATGAAGGCAAGGTAAAGAGATTTTAAGAAACAACTGAAAGAAAACTAAGAGAGTTTGTCACAAGCAGACTCTTCTACAAGAAATGCTAAAGGAAACTTCACACTGAAGGAAAATGATATCAAAGGAGGACCTACCGGATTTTGAAAAATTTATCTTTATTGTTGGAAGTGTTACCGGTGCTCCCTTTATTCCCTCATTGACCCCCTCCACTCCACACTCGCCCCTAACCCACTGGATTTTACACTGCACTCTCTCGCTCACTCTCTTACTCGCTCTCTCTCTCTGGCCCTCAGCCCCCACTCTTTTTTTCTTCGACTGATTCTTTTATTTTCTTCTTTAATTCTTTAGCAGAAGCCACGTTATGGGAGGTGGAGAATGGGAGGTAAGTTTATTCTCTGTAAAATAGGAGATAAGAGCGCCTGCCTCATAGATTTGTTGTGAGAATTAAATGAATTAACATACGAGAAGTATTTAGAAAAGTCCCTGGAACATGATACGTTCCAACAGTTTTTAGCTCTTGCCTGGGCCCCAGTACGTGGCTCAGACACGGTGGCTACTATGTCAGGTGCACACTCTGACTGGTTGGCGGGGGTGGCGGTGTTTTGGGGGAAACGGGAGTTTCTGCTAAAGGGATGAGGACTTCTTCTTGGGGTGACGGAATCTTCTACAATTGATGGTGGTGATGGCTGCACGACACTGCGAATAGACTGAAAGTCCCTGAATCTCACACCTTAACTGGTGAATTTTACAGCCTGTGAGTATAGTTCAGTAGAGCTGCCTCCCTCAACACCTTCCCCAAAGTCCCTGTGTATCCATGACTCCCTGAAGGACGCGGCAGGAAGACCGTCACCAGGTCATATTGGAACAAGCACACGGATGAGTGCGCGTTCGTTTGCTTTAAGTGGCTTTCTTTCCTGTTTCCACCATCGTGGAAGCCTGCGACTACGAGAAGAAATGTACAAACTGGGAATATGTCACCGTTTGCATTTAGGTGTCTGTTTTTATAATGTGGTAAACTTTTGTTTTGAAATATCACACAGTTGGCGGACCTAGAACTGCTGGATGGACCCAGAAGAGTGCTAATGGCGGAAGGAAAAGGAGGCCTATAGTTCAGCTCTTCATCTAGAAAATCGAATTTGCTCAAACTACTCACACTCTTCTCATTTCCGTATGCTCTGCAGTACAAAACAGATGGACCAAACTGCTGGTGACACCGAAATTCATGTACTCATACCTTCAACAAACATTTCCTGAAAAGTGACCGTGGCTGGGCAGTGCCAGAGACGTTAAACAGAACCCTGCGCCACAACCGACCTGTTTTATTCCATTTGTTCCGCGTGCCCCGGACTGAATGCTCCGAGAACAGGGCGGAGGGAGTGGCTAGCGCTGGAGGAGGTAACAGCTCTTCAGAGACACGGAGACACTCATGGCGGAGCTGGAAAACCAGTGCAGAGTGTCGGTGGGAGTCCTGGTTCACAGTCCCTCCTGCAGGAGGAGCAAGCTGCTCACTCGTCACCGGCTGCCAGTGCGGTGGGACGGGCGTGTGCAGCAGGGAGCAAAGCGAGGGGCGAGGCCTCTCACAGCCGTGGATCCGCTGGATCCGCACACGTGCCCTCTGCGTCTGGCCTCTCCCTCTCAGCACCAGGCCTCCAGGTTCCTCCATGTGGGAGCACGTGTCGGACCCCCATTCCTCTTTATGGTCAAATGACCCTTCAGTGTGTGGATGTAACGCATGGTCTGTTTGTGGCTGGAGGGCATTTGGGGTGCTTCTACTTGCCGGCTGTTCTGAAAGC